CCGGGAGGCAGCGCACCTTTTCGGGGGGCGCTGGGCGCGGTAGGCGGTGCGGGTAGAACCCCGCGAGGTCCACCGAACGCCGCGCACCCGGGATTCCGAGCGGAGCTGCGGGTGGGCTGGAACCTTGGAGGTGCGGGAGCGGAGCTCAGGGTCCGCAGTGACAGACGCGGGGTGGTCAGTGCGTGGCGAAGCGGGAATCGGGAGACTGCGGGGTCACCAAGGGGATCCCGGAGGGAGCGGATCCGGAGACTGCGGGGTCGCCAGGGGGTCCCGGAGGGAAGGCGAGCGGGTGGAGGCCGGAGGCCCGCGGGCGCTGCGTCCCGGCGCCCCCGTGTTTACTGGCGTCCTAGCAACCGGCGGGACGCGCGGTGCGGTGTGCGGCGGGCCGGCGGCGGGCAGGTGAGTGCGGCCCGGGGCGGCGGCGCCTGCGGGATGGGGGCTGCGCAGGTGTGTGCGCTGGGGGGAAGCCCCTGGCTTGGATTCCTCTCTCTGCGTCCCGGCCCTGACATCGCCCAGTGCGCATCTCTCATGCCCGCTCCATCTCGGCCTGGGGCCCGGGGACTCCCGGCTCCGGCGATCCCAGGCCGCCCGGGGGACCCCTGGCTTTGGCGATCCAAGCCACCTTTCCTCCTCCCCGTGCCCGGCTGGCTATCCCCTGCCTTCCTGAACTTCTTCTCCACGGAGCTCAGCCTCCAGATCTCCACTGGATTTGCCGCGTCTCCAGGCTTCCCGCAGCCTGAGTCTGCAGCCCGCACCACCAGCTCACGCTGGCGCTCGCCTCAGGTTTGATCCCGTCAGAGCTGAAGCTGAGATTCATTCATTCATTCATTCATTCATTCATTCATTCATTCATTCATTCATTCTGTCTGTCTGTCTGTCTGTCTATCCGTCTGTCTGCCTATTATCTATCTATCTATCTGTCCGTCTATTATCTATCTATCTATCTATTTATCTATCTATCTATCTATCTATCTATCTATCTATCTATCTATCTATCTATCTATCTATCTATCTATCTATCTATCTCTGTAGGGGCTTCTTGCCCACAAAGCAGGTTACTGATCGGACCAGCCACATTTTGAGATCTTGGGAAGGAGGCCCAACATTTCCGTGGCCTCTGAAAGAATTTCGTTTTGCTCTTGTTCAAATGTTAAAGAAATTATTCTCCAGTGGGTTTCATTTTTATTAATCATAATGTAAGCTTGAGACGGATGTGTAAAAAGAAAAAAAAACAAGTTTTTACCTTTTAGATTGAGAAGAGGAAAAAAAAATGAGGGCTTGGTGATTCTCCGTTTGTGTAAACACACCACAACCGCTGTGTCTCTTTGAACTTTTGCTTTTAGAATTTTACTTCCATTCAAATGTGCCATGTGTTTAAATGTTCTCACTATAAGCCGTTTTATTTTTTTTCTGAAAAGTTTGACCTGAATTGTAAAGACCCAGCATCATTGATTATTTATCTACTAATAATTCTGTCCTTACCTTCCTGATTGCTGTAGGCCCTGTAAAGGTTTTTTAGCGTTTCTGCTAAGCCTTTTGGAGAAAGCCTGTCCACTTCTGCTGATCTGCATCACTTGACTTAGAATATTAATTTGAATAAATTCAAATGTAAGTTGCATTTCTACCTCTATAAAATGTCTCATGGCCAAAAAAGCTCTTTGTATGTTTAAGCTTTCTTTTCCTTTTTAAAAAATGAACACACATTTACAATATTTCCACACACACACTGTGCACTTTGAACAAATTAACCTCTCCTGCCATATTTTCAGTTTCTTTTTCAAAGTGTCTCCTAAGAAGCCTCTATATGTTATGCTGACAATCTCACGTCATCTAAGCAATTTCACATTTTTTTCCTTAAAGGAACACTATAAGATCACCAAGGCAAATGTTATTCTTAAAATTAAAAACAGACAGAGCTGTCCACCTAAGCAAGTCTGTATACAATAAAACTTCTTACAGGTATTCATCATTTATGTCTATTTTTGTAACAGTGGGAAACCCAAGTGTCACATATGTGGCAGTACATGAGTCCATGTTAGAACCTAAGGCATTTAAAAAAGATTAACAATAAAAGCTCAGAGGGAACAGACAGGAACAATGACAGAAAAGGTAATTGCACAGGAAGCACTGGACAATTGGCCAGACCCGTTAAATTGTAACTCCCTTGTACAACCTTTTGAAGTTCAGCAAAAAGTTAATTAAAAAATAGAAATTGAGGAAATCGTGTATATGAATTATGTACATTTTTCACTAGTACTTATCTCTATCCTTTATATTTCTAGATCAGTTGCTCTATCTGATCCAACACTTGGTTTTTATAACAAACATTTTGTAATGACAGTTTATGCTATTCTGAAATTCAGATTGCAGATAATCATGCTACATATATAATGGTTTTAAATATTTATATTTATGTAGTTATGAAGTAAAGGAAAATACTTGTAATGTTTAGGTACCACTATAATAGAACATATAAGGAAGTTATCAGATGGTCTGGCTTTACACAGAATTACCATGAACACAGCTGCCCCAAATGCAGGCCAACAGACACGTCATTACAACTTAAATTTGTGAATAGCTTTGTCATCCACAGCATGTTTTCTAAAATGCTAAGCTTTATGAAGTTGCATGTAAAATGAAATATCTACTGCCATCCTTCTCTTTAAAATGATAATCACAATCCTAGAAAATTCAGTATGTACTGCAAGAGTGGAGAAATACTTGGTGAGTTTTGTAAAGTGTAGGAAAGTTGTAGGTTGAAGTTGCTCACCGCCAGATGTCTAGACACATGCTCCTGCTAGAATATTGTCCTGCACAGAAAGACATCATGCATTTTTAGTCTCATCTCTAAATGCTAATGATGTTTTCTTACTATTCCCTTGATAATTAGCTATCTGTATAAGAGTCCTATTCTGCTCCCAGCAGGAAACACCATCTATAGGGATCTATTTAAATCCTGTGGTTGGGGTTCAATAATTGATACAGTTTCAATAATTATACAGAAAGTATAATCTCTATTTCATTTCTGTTAAACTGTGTACTTCTGAGATTTGTACTAATTATGGTCATAAAAGTCTTCATTTAACTCTATAACCATTCATCTAATATTCTAGAAGGAAGGTTTTCAGTATTACTAGAAATGAGAAAGCAAACAAGTACAGATTATTTGAAAAGAATATCAATTAGATATTAATATAAGAAATTCTTTTCTATTTTGGTTCTTATGTAATGTTGTAAATTATGGTATATTTTAAAGATAGTCTTTTAAATTCTGTTTAGCCAAAGTGAAATTAGTTTTATTTGAATTTGTTTTAAAGATTGCTAGATTATTTTGATAACTAATTCAGACAAAGGGTCTCACAAAACTCTTGCTTATTTTTATATCTTTCATTTGAGAAAACAAAATCTCCTCTTAAAAAAACTGAAAAGTACTATAAAAGACTTCTATTCTGAATAACATATATGGGGAAAGAACTCTGATTATTTTCTCTCCAGATATTCTGGTAATTGGCTTAGTATTTCTATATAAATTTTCAACAAAAAATCAAATTATAGTTCACAATCATATTCTTTCTCCATTTCATAGTAATTTAGAAAATCCCATTATTAATTTAGAAGGCAGGTGGGGAACTTAATTAAAGTTCAGAAATATGTTCTTCTGTCACCATTGCCCTGATTCTCATATGATCTCTAAGAAAGTGAGAATAACTACTCAGTTTAATAGCATATAGTTTAATAGTATAATAGTTTAATAGCCGATCAAAGGTTTTTCCACCTAATGCCCAGCCCCTAGCAGAACTGTGACCAAGGCCCTGGCTGCTAATCTCCTTCAATTCTTTTTTGAACTCTGCAGTTTTCTGTTTGGGTTCCCCCTCCCCATGTCTGAATTATCTTTCTTAGGCTTGAGGAAATCAGATGTTATTAACTATAGAATAGCAGGCAGAAATTGGAAATCCTTATGTCCTTATATTGGAATTGATTTACTCTTTTATTGCTTAATGAGCCACCAGGTAGTTTTAAACATTCATCTCCAAAGTTAGATGCCAGTGGCTTATGCCTGTAATCCTAGCTCAGGAGGCTGAGGTTTGAGGATCACTTTTGAAGCTTGCACAGGAACATTCGACTCTCCAATAAACTACAGAAGAAGAAGACGAAGAAGACAAAGAATAAGAAGAAGTTGGAGGAGGAGGAGGAGGGGGAGGAGGAGAAGGAAGAGGAGGAGGAGGAGGAGGAGAAGGAGGAGGGGAGGAAGAGGAGGAGTGGAGGAGGAAGAGGAGGAGGAGAAAAGAAGAAGAAGGAGGAGGAGGAGGAAGTAGGAGGAGGAGAAAGGAGGATGAGGAGGAAGAGGAGGAGGAGAAGGGAGGAGGAGAAGGAAGAGGAGAAGGAGGAGGAAGAGGATGAGGAAGAGGAGGAGGAGGAAGGAGGAGGAGGAGGAAGGAGAAGGAGGAGGAAGGGGGAGGAGGAGGAGGAGAATAATAATAATAATAATATGAGGAAGAAGAAGAAGAAGAAGAAGAAGAGGAAGAGGAAGAGAAAGAGCAGCAGCAGCCAGAAGTAGAGTGTGGCTCAAGTAATAGAGCACTAACCTTGAGCAGCTCCAGGACTGGCATACACAAAAAAGTTAATTTCTAAGATTACAAAGCAGAATATAGAAGGGCGGGAGAATGAAACCGTAACAATCAATGCATATGTGTGTGTGTGTGTGTGTGTGTGAAAATGGAACTAGGAAAATGGAAAGCATGGGTGGTAGTGGGCAGATGGGAAAGAAGGGTGAAAGGGGTACACTGATGAAAATGCATTGTGCTCAGAAACTGAAACCCCTTTGCACAACAATTTAAAGATAATAACATTAAATTTTTTTTAAAGTTGGATGTGGGTTGACTAAGATAAAGTCTTAAAAGTGAAAATGGCAGGGAAAATGTGAAAGGTATGTTTCTCTCTCATCGTTTCTGCTTTTCTGTAGTGCATACGGAGCTCGGATTGGAGCATTAGCTGGTCCCATGGGTGTGGCACTGGCCAAGTCTGTCCAGTGGAAGGCGGCCGAATTTGGGACTGGAACCCTAGAGACCACCCCTCTGAATGAATCGATATTGAAAGAAATTACTAAGTTTGTGGAGATGTTTATTGTTAAACATCCCCACGAGGCCAAGTTTGTTTTTGTAGAACCACTTGAATGGAAAACCAAGTTGACGCCCTCAGTGTTTAACACAGATTATATTGTCAGGTAAGCCACTTAATTGCTTCTAGAATTGAACATCATCATTATATGTATTCTCATGGTTTGATGTGGGTTTAGGGTGAGTCTCTAAGCCTCTGAATCTCAGATATCCTCTACACTGCATTGAACTCAGGGATTGCAAAGTGGAGGTGATCAGATGAAATCTGAGGGGGCTGCGCTTGGTCAACATAACTAGTTTTGAAATTTAAATTTCATTTTCTTTTGAGAGAGGATATATTCACTAGGCCACCATTCCAGCATTCTTTGTTTACTTACTCTTGGCCTTTTACCAACCATATAACCTTCTGGACAATCAATAGTCTCTGGTTTTGTAACTTCTTTTTTTTTAATAAGTTTTTTATTGTGAAAATACTGTACAGAGGGGTTACAATCACATGAGCAAGGTAATGAGTAAATTTCTTTTCTTCAGATATTTTTCTTTTCTTTTATTTTGTGGGTCATGGGGCTTGAACTCTGGGCCCAAGTGCTGTCCCTCAGCTCTTCAGCTCAAGGCTAGTGCTCTACCACTTGAGCCACAGCACCACTTCTGAGGGTTTTGTGACTTCTGAAGTAGCTAAAAATTCTTCCAGGGTTCAAATCTCTCATTTCCTGGAGGGACCTGGGGTAGGCGCAGAATAGTGAATCCTCTTTTTTTTGGCCACTTCTGACTTTTTCTGCTTATGTGGTGTTGAGGAATTGAACCCAAGGCAAGGACTCTACCACTGAGCCACCTTCCCAGCCTCAGAATGGTGAATTCTGATCAATTAATTTGGCATTGAACCCAGTGTCTTGCACATAGTAGGCCAGTACTTTACCACCAACTACATCCCTGGGCCTTAAGAGACTCCTTCACCATCAGTTCTGACTTCAAATGAAAATCCTTCAAAGTTGAGATAAAAAAGATCTGACCACCCCTTCAAAGAGTGGGATATCAACTTACCTTTTACAAATATGTCTATATCTAGATATATGTATATACATAAGTTATATAAATGTATATATCTCTAGGTATGTATAATATGTATCTATATACATTCTTATTATATATCTATATAATATACATTTATAAACATAATAAATAAAATGATAAAAATAAATATGTATCTATATATATAATTACATAGTATAATTAGATATAGTAATCTATCACTATACATTATAATTAAAAATAAGTAAGCAGGGCTGGGAATGTGGCTTAGTGGTAGAGTGCCTGCCTAGCATACATGAATCCCTGGGTTCGATTCCTCAATACCATATAAACAGAAAAAGCTGGAACTGGCACTGTGGCTCTGAGCACACACACACACACACACACACACACACACACACACACACACACACATCTGACCTCATCAAAACCAATTCCCAAGGGAAGTCTCATCTTTAGACCAATGAAATTATTCCATCTAAGAGCTGATTAGTTCTTTCACTGATCTTTCTTCCCTCTGAATTTCAGAAGTATTTTTTTTTGGGGGGGTCCAGTCATGGGGCCTGAACTCTGGGCCTGGGTGCTGTCCCTCAGCTCTTCAGCTCAAGGCTAGCGCTCTATCACTTGAGCCACAGCGCCACTTCTGGCTTTTTTCTTTTTGCTTATGTGGTGCTGAGGAATCGAACCCAGGGCCTCATGCAGGAAAGGCAAGCGCTCTACCACTGAGCCACCTACCCAGCCCCTCGGAAGTATTTTTAATGGTCAATTTCTGTGTCACTCTGCTGTGGGTCACTTTTCCCCAAGTGTTTGTCCTTTCTGGATGATTACCCCAGTTTCTACTGCTTCTACCTGGTTCCAGCTTTCTTTTTTTTTAACCTTTGAAAGATGAGCTCATCTGCAAAATCAGTTTGAAACATTAACTATTTTGTACAAAGATTAAAGCAGATGACAGAAAAGAAAATCAAGGTTGTCATTGTGTCTGGCTTCGGGACTAATTTTATGTTCCAAGTACACACATGACCACATCTGCCTCCTAGTCAGGTGGGGCCACTCCTCAAATGTGTCATTGCTTTTCTTTTTCTATATTTGTCCAAATGCCCTTTCACTCTCCTCCCTTTCTCTCTGTCTTTGCATATATACCTGGACTTGAACTCCAGGGTCCAGGGCCAAGTACTATTTGGGATTTTCTGCTTATGCTGTTGCTCTACCATTTGTTCCATGCTTTCAGTCTGGCATTTTGCTGATTATTTGAACCTTGAATACACTTTTGGCTAGGTTGGCTTTAAAATGTGATCTTCCAGATCTCAGCTTTCTAAGCAGCTAGGATTATAGGTGTGAGTACTGGTGCTTGGCTACTTGTTGAAGAATATTTTGCTTTATTTCCATATGTAGTATCTAGATAGAGTTCCTCCCTCTCCCTCCTGTTTCACTCTGTCTCACTGTCCTGTCTTTCTCTCTCTCTCTCTCTCTCTCTCTGTGCCAGTCCTGTGACTTGAACTCAGCACCTTGGTGCTGTCCCTGAGCATTTTTGCTCAAGACTAGTGCTCTACTACTTTGAGCCACAGCACCACTTTTTCCTTTATTGGTGTTTAATTGGAGATAAGATCTTGTCTCAGAGACTTTCATGCCCAGGCTGACTTTTAACCACAATCCTCAGATCTCAGCCTCCTGAGTAGCTAGGATTATAGGCATGAGTCCCCAGTGCCCAACTTACTCCCTTTTTTGTTGCAACACTAGAGTTTGAATTTAGGACTTGGTGCTTGCTAGGCAAGTGCTCTATTGCTTGATCTTTGCCTCTAACAAATTTTCTGTAGTTGTTTTTTTAGATAATATCTCACTTTTGCCTGGGTTGATTTGGGCCTCTATCTTTCTATATTTACATTTTCCACTGTGGCTAGGATGACAGACATATACCAACACACCTAGTTTTTTCTGTTGAGATGACTGAGTCCTGTCAACTTTTAAAATTGAGCTGACTTGGAACTGAAACCCTTCTTGATCTCATTTCTTCTAAATAGCTGAGATGACAGGTATATCCTACTGTGTCCAAGGTTGAATTGGGAGTCTCACAAATTTGTGCCCACACTGACATTGAACCACAATGTAGCTAAGATTAACCATAGAGTCTTTTATGCATGCTATTTACTTCTAAGCAAGAAATAATTGACATTTTGATATGTGCATTTTGGAACAACTATTCCTGGATTGTTTTTATTTCTGTTCAATTTACTATGTAGCTTTTCCTTTGGGAAAATTTTCTCTTATTTTTGCTTCTGACCTATATTGATGATATTTTTTTTCTATTGGAAGGGATGATGGTTTTGGTAGAATCACTTATCTGAAAATAAATCATGCTGTGTGGCTTGGGTAAAAAACCAGATAGAGATTAATTACCATTTTGTGTGTTTGGGTGTGTACCCATTCTAGGGCTTGAACTCAGGGCCTTGCACTCTTGCTTCGCTTCCTCTATTCAAGGCTGGCACTCTACCATTTGAGCCACACCTCCACTTTTGGCATTTTGGTTGTTGATTGGAAGTAAGAGTCTTTCAGCTTTGTCTGCCTTGTCTGGTTTTGAACTGAGATACTCAGATCTTAGACTCCTCAGTTGCTAGGATTACAGGCATGAGCCATAGGCATCTGGCCCTGACTGCCTTAAAAAAGGCAAAGGGTACAGTTGACATTTGGGTCATAGTAGAAAATTACAAATGTTATTTTTACTCCCAGGTCTTAACTATACCTTATGTTCTATGTATCAGACCAAAGAATATTCCACAGCCTCCAGCCATCTAGAATGTCAACCATCTTTCTGCCACTATGACAAATTACATAAGATGATCAATTTAAAAGGAGGAAGGGGTTTCTACACCTTCACAATGTACTTGGGTGATTTAGAATGAAAATGGACAGTAGTTCTTGTATAAATACTTTATCTCACATCTTGTTCTAAAAGAAGTCAGTATTACCTATCCTGTCTCTGTGGAGTAGTACAGCTATCCTTGTGTTGGTCTCTGCACATGGGGATGGGACTATAAGTATATTTGGGCCCTCCCTTTCCACTTGAAGCTGTATGTCACCACAGGTATTTTCTGCAGAGCCCATGGAAGTTTGACCAGCCTTCTTCTGGACTAGGCTAATTAGCATCTGATACTTGAAACCTCTCCTTTGTTCCCATACTGAAAAGGTTTTCTATTTCATCAGCCTTCTTCTTTCCTTTGTGTAGAGTGTTATTAACGCAGTAAACTGGCACAACACCTTCTACATTTTGCACAATTGATCTTTTCTGCTATCATGCCTGCTCTGTTTACTCTGTAGGGACATCTGTTCTCTTCTCTAACTTTAATTTTTTTTTGGAAAAACATCTTTTTCTTGTTTTCACAAAAATTAAAGTAAAAATGAAATGTGTGTGTGCGTGTGTGTCTTTTTGTTAATACTGGAGTTTGAACTCAGAGTCTCATGCTTGTTGGGTAGGTACTATAGCTCTACCGCCATCCCTTTTGGCTTTAGTTTATGTAGGGTCTTGAATTTTTGCCTGGGGCTGGCCCCATATTACATCCTTCTCTTTCTACCTCCTCAGTAACTGGCAGACCCCATAGATCTCTTTTAACATTGGCGATTTTTATTTTATTTATCATTGGCTCTTGTTATTACCAGAAAAAATGGGAGCCATAATCTTCCTAGAACGCCTCATATTGAAGGCCAAATCCTGTACACAAAGGAGAAACAACATTGCTCAATGGTTAAACCATCCACTGATGCTCCAGAGAGATCAGGCATTTGGATTTTCTGGAATGGAATTAGGGGATTTTATAAATTGGATAATCATTCTTATTCTTTTCTCTCCTCCTCTGGTTGAACTGTGTTTCTCAAATCCTGTCTGCTCTATTCTTAGCTTATTTCTTTCAGATCTCACTCTAGTGTGTCTCAGTGATATGTATGGGTTGAATATAGTTACACTGTGGTAAGAGTTCTGGATAGAAAGAAATCTCTCAAGTAACAGCCTTCATCCCCACAGTAATACATACTTCAAGCACAATCTATGCTTTTCTGGGTCTTAGTTTTTATGATAAGTATCATGAAGGGCTCATCTCTATGATCTTTAAGATTCAGCTTAGCCTATATGAGTATTGTGACAATTAATATATTTTTGGTAAAATTTGTATTTGGTGACTTCATTTTGTTGGTGATCCAGACCATGAATATAAAAGACAACTGATCTACCACTGAGGTACGCTCTCAGCCCTGACATAAATGCTGTTACTAAGCAATAAGCTCTTTTTTTTTCCTCCCAAGAATACTAAATTGCTTCTTAACCATATCTTTATTTCCTATGTTACTATTTAGACATACATTTACTAAGTAATTACTATGTTGAGGACATCAAATTGGACATTGGGGGTTTAAGGGAAGAGATACTTTGCTGATCTCTTGCTTTATAACCTTCTCCCCCAATACAGTTCGAAAGCCTTTCCATATGGATAATGGCTCTCATTAGCAGACATTTTTCTTGACCTCTGCAAGTTGGGTGCATTATTTTATTTTTTCAAGAGCCGATTGTTCAGCTGTTAGAAATGGGGAGCCTGGAACTCTTCTGTATCATCTTAAAACACCTACAGTTGGAGTTTCAGTTTTGACTTCTCTGTCAAGTCAGAGGCTTTAACTTCACCAAGAGGAAGAATGAAACATGTCACCTGTGTCCCTCGGTTCTTTGTTTTATTTTCTTGTTAAGTAGTTTAAAATTTTGACACTCATTCAGCCAATATAACTCAATTCTGTCACCATCCATTTAGGATAAGTGACAAACCTTTTAAGCGAATCACCTTTAAGAAATCTCCTCCATCCTAAGGGCATCAAGAAGAGTACATTCTGAACACAAGGCATTCCCTTTCATTCATTCAGCTATTAAGCATCTTTTCCATGCAGTCAGTTTGAAGTACTGGGCATTAAACAATTATCTATCTGTAGTGAGCAGTATCAGTCTAACAAAGTCTCCATAACAGCTTCCAATTACCATTGTAGCCAATTGCCACAAACTTGATAACACCTGTTTTTCATTTTATACGTGTGTGTGTGTGTGTGTGTGTGTGTGTGTGTGTGTGTGTGTGTGTAATGCAGCTTGAACTTAGGACCTGAGAACTGACCCTTAGCTTTTTCACTCAAGGTTGGTTCTCTACTACATAAGTCATAGCTCCACTTCTGGCTTTTTGGTGGTTAATTGGAGATAAGTATTTCATGGATATTTCTACTCTCCATCATGATATGCTGCCTTGCCACAGGCTCAGAGCAATAGGGTCAAATGATTATATATTAAAACCTCTGTAACTATACCACAACATCAATCTTTCCTCCTTTTAAATTGATTGCCTTGAGTATTTTGTTATAGTACCCAAAGCTTAGTAATATAGATGGAGTCCACAGCAAGTGATTTAGATCTGTTCAATTTACTTTTCCTGATGAGCTAGAAACATTTCACATCTACTTACCTGAATTTCAACTTAAATAATGTCAGATTGGGTCTTAAGATGAGGAAAGATTTATGAAGGCATAAAATACAAAGAAAATCCTAGGCAACTGAATTTATGTTGTAAATGACACAAATCCATACAAATGTCACTCCCATGAAAATATCTTCATGCATCTTCACTGGCAACTTAATGAATCATTAAAGTGAACAGAAATACAAATCTAGAAGACAATAATTTCTTTTTTTTTTTTTTTTTGGTTGGTCGTGGGGCTTGAACTCTGGGGCCTGGGCGCTGTCCCTCAGCTCTTCAGCTCAAGGCAGGCGCTCTACCACTTGAGCTACAGCGCCACTTCCGGTTTTCTGGTGGTTTATTGGAGATAGGAGTCTCACGGTCTTTCCTGCCCGGGCTGGCTTTGAACCGCGATCCTCAGATCTCAGCCTCCTGAGTAGCTAGGATTACAGGCGTGAGCCACCAGCGCCCGGCAAGACAATAATTTCTGTTCAGGAAAAGTCTATTTAGAAAAACTGCTTCTTATCCTAATTATATCCAAATTAGAGAGTCCAGGATGGGGCAAATAATCCACAGAGAAGATCCAGTTTGCCTGTTTTCATAATGTTTTGGTTCATAAATACAGTGTAGCCCAGAAAACTCCTAACCACTAACTACTGTGGTGTAAAACTTTTTATGAATAAGATATCAACTTCTTCTGCCCCAGAATGAAAGTTCTACAGAACTAATGATGTGTGAAACAGACAAATAAACAAACAAGCAAAAAAGGGTATCAGAAACCAACACATTGTTAAAGAAGGCTGATGAGTTGAATTCCATTGTGAATTATAGAAACTTAAAACTTTCTTTCTGGTTATGGCCCACTGCTCAAGAACTGCAGGTGAGCTTGAAGGGTTCAAGTTTGGATGAAAGCAGGAGGGAAGTACTGAGATTCTGTGTAGAGGGACTTACATTTTTTGTATTTTATAATGAAATAGAATAACAAGCTGTGTGAGATCTTGAACTTTCATGACATCTTGGTAAATGAACTTCAACTCTCCCCCCCCCACCATGCTTTTTAGTGAAACAATGGTCCAATCAGAAGAAGTTGATCAGCATAGACAGCCTTTATTAGAGCTGCGTGTACCACAGATTAAAGTTAGAAGCTTTGGACAACTCTCACAACTGTTACTAATTGCCCAAGATAAACAGCTGGAGGAGGCTCGAGCATGTATTGAAGGTGATATTTACCCTCCATCCTGGGAATTGAACGTTTAGAAATGTGATCTTGGGTAAGAGCATTTATTGCAGTCTCTTGACAAACTATCTACAAAACTGAAAGGTAAAACACGGGTACCCTGTTCATGAAAATGTATTTCGTGTTCCTTGGCTGAACTGTTAGGCTCATATCAAATTTCTGCTTGCAAATGAAAGGAGTAGTCCCTTGCCATTACTAGGATTTCTAATGTTAGCACGTGTTTCAAGAGAACCTTCTTAGCTCTGTGAAAACCCAGCAGACAGTAGCCTACAAGATCACATGAAATATCTAATTATAAGTAATGTATGCATGCATTTTGTGTGTTTAGGATAACATGACCAGTGGATCCTAGGCATAAAGTACTGAATTCTACCCATTTCTCCTGTTAGGAGAGAAGATGTTCACTTTTGTTTAAGATGTCAATTTTAGAACAGCAGCTTCTTTTTAGCTCATGACTTCTCTTCATTTTTTGGAGACAGGGACTCACTATAGCATCCAGACCAGCTTCAAACTTCATAAGCATGTGCTACTATGCTCAGCTCTTTGGCTGTATACGTATCCAAGTTGCTTTCCTGAGGAAGGATACCTTGGACATAAAGCAGAACTTGTGATGATAATTAAGAGATGAGACATAATACATATACAAACTACTATAAACATTTATCTTGTACTTTCCCTTCCTGTAAGATCCAGTTAGCTTTCAGATCCACATTGCATGTGATCTGCGTGAGGCCATGTAGTAATCAGGTTTTTTGTCTTGCCCTAGAATTTATCCACTTTGTTTTTTGTTTGTTTGTTTTAATTTTTTTTTTGCTGGTCCTGGGGCTTAAACTGCGGGCTTAGGCGCTGTTCCTGAGCTCCTTTGTGCTCAAGGCTAGCATTCTACTTCCTGAACCATAGCGTTACTTTTGGATTTTTCTATGATTAATTGGAGGTAAGAATCTCATGGACTTTTCCTGCCCCAGCTGGCTTCAAACCGCAATCCTCAGATCTCAGCCTTCCAAGGAGCTAGGATTACAGGAATGAGCTACTCGTGCCTGGCCTACTATGTGTTTTTTAAATAAAAATTTGAGATAACATCCATAAAGTTGAAAACAAAGCTGCTGGATAAATGGCTGATTTCTTGGGTTCTTTCCTTCCCCCTCCACAGTTCTTTCCTGCTGAAAGAGCTGTTAGGAAATTTTCTGGTGCCATAACCCATTTCTGTGGGAGAACAAGCCCATCATTTCAATCAAGGCATGCTTCCTGAATGAGTCCTGCATTGTTCCATTCCAAGGTTCTTCCCCTCTTTGAACTATATTAACTTCACCATTTACCACATTCTGTTCAGTGTCTTTAGGTTCAAATAGCACATCTAGATCAGCCTTGATCCAGGAATTAGTATTTAAATATTTTGGTTCAAGTGTAATAGTGATTAGATTTGGTCTCCCAGACACCGCATCAGAGGCCTTGAGTGTGCAGGGTACAGATGGGTGGAGAGGGTAGATGGGCCAGTAGGCTGCGGGAAGCCTGCTGCTCAGGGAAGGAAGTGTTCCTGAACATGGAGCGCCAGGACACACAGACACAGACAGACACACAGACTTGCATACAGCTTGAACGATGATTCCTCTAATGAGATGAGTATTTTTCTATCTTTAAATCAATTCTGCATATATTAATTAAATGTCTATAATTAATTAATTAATATCTATATAATTAATTAATGTCTATAATTAATTAAATGAATAATTATAGCTAAGAAAAAGAAGGGAGGAAAGGGGGAAGGAAGGAAGGAAATGAAAGAAGGAAGGGAAGGAAATGAAGGATGGAAGGATGGGAAGGAGGGAAATGGCAGAGGGGGGGAAGGAAGGAAGAAAGAAAGGGAAGGAGGCAGGGAAGAGAAAGGGAGGGAAAAGGAAGGAGGAAGTGAGAGAGAGGAAGTGAGAGAAGGGAGGGGAGGGGCGAAGAGAAGAATGAGAGTGAAGTGGGAGAGAAAGGAGGAAAAGAGGAAGGGGAGGAAGGAGAGAAGCAAGGAAGGAAAAGAAAGGATAGAAGGAGGGAGGGAAGAAAAGAAGTATAATACTATTCACGGAGCTAGAACGGTGGCTCAGTGGTAGAGCGCTTGTCTTGCATGCATGAGGCCCTGGGTTCGATTCCTCAGCACCACAAAAACAAAAAGAAAAAAGCCGGAAGTGGCGCTGTGGCTCAAGTGGTAGAGCACTAGCCTTGAGCTGAAGAGCTGAGGGACAGCACCCAGGCCCAGAGTTCAG